TCCCAGCCTGGAGTGCAGTGGCGTGATCTCGGCTCACTGCAACGTCCACCTCCGGGGTTGTTATTCTCCTGCCTCAGCCTCCTGGGTGGCTGGGATTACAGGTGTGCACTACCACGCCCGGCTTTTGTTTTTATTTTTATTTTTATTTCTTTCTTATTTTTATTAGAGATGGGGTTTCACCATATTGACCAGCCTGGTCTCAAACTCCTGACCTCAAGTGATCTACCTGCCTCAGCCTCCCAAAGTGCTGGGATGTGGTGCCTCTTACCTCTGTGTTTTACGGCTTGAGGATCTCGAGTGCCTATTAAGGAGAAAGAAGGCAGATGGTGCAGAGGGTGACCCGGGCAGGAGCTGCAGGGAGAAACCGCATGTGTGGTGCGGTCGGATCTGATTAAGGCTGACATCCTGGAAGGCTCTCCCCATTCTCCTCTTCCAGCCCCCTCGTAAACACCCTTCTGGGTCCTATACATTCTGTCTGCCCAGCCCTCTACAGATCCCCATCTCCCAGGCCCTAGTGTTCTGCCTGGCCACAGGCTTTCAGTGTGTCCCTGCTTTTACTGGCACTGGGCTAATTCCCCTACTTGTAGGTTTTCTTATTTAATTCTCCTGATAAACCTATCCCGCTGTTTCTCTTCCTGCATGACACGCTCCTCCTACTTCTCTAACCTTGTACTGTCAACCTTCTTTCTGTTTCTAGAACAGGCCACAGTTATTCCTACCTCCAGGCCCTCGTACAGGGTAAGTGAGAGGCTAAGTGAGGCTTTTCTGGACATAGATGGTTTCTTTCAAATCCAGCTCCAACTCCTGGTCACTGTGAGACCTTGGACCAGTTATTTTACTTCTCTGTTCTTCGGCCCCCTCACCTGTAAAATGGTTTGTGTGAAGATGAAAGGAATCCACACATATAAACTCTTAGAACAGAAACTTCCTAGGCTAGGCACGGTGGCTCATACCTGTAATCCCAGCGCTTTGGGAGGCTGTGGTAGGTGGATCACTTGAAGTCAGGAGTTCGAGACCAGCCTGGCCAACATGGTGAAACCCTGTCTCTACTAAAAATACAAAAATTAGCTGGGTGTGATGGTGGCCACCTGTAATCCCAACTACTCAGGAGGCTGAGACAGGAGAATCGCTTGAACCTGGGAGGCAGAGGTTGCAGTGAGCCGAGATCACACCACTGCACTCCAGCCTGGGTGACAGAGCGACACTCCATCTAAAAATAAATAAATAAATAAATAAATCAATGAACAGAAACTTCATACAGCAGACACTTAATAAATATGGTGCCTCTTACCGAATCTCTTCTTAGAAACCTCTTCCCCCATATCTCCAGCCTAAACGTCACCTCACGCGAGGTCTCTGCACCATGCTGTCATGTTTTCTTATTTTATTTTTATTGTAGCATTTATCACTCACGATGATTTCCTTGTTTGCTTGTTATCATCTATTCCCACTCCCTAAATGAAATTCTGGTCTCTCACTCATGTCCGTGTCTATCTCCATGTCTAGAAACACCTCGCCCATAGTAGGGGCATGGAAAGTGTTGGTTGAAAAAATCTTTGTTTCATAGGTGAAGAAAATGAATCTTAGAGCAGCGAGGACTCTAGCACAACACAGGTGCAAGCCTGTGTTTCTACAACATTTGGATCCTACAGGGAGGCGTGTCTTTCTCTGGGCCCCGCTGCCCTGACCCACAATCCTGCCTGCTTCCTCAGCCCAAGTGGAGCGGGCAGCCAGCCATCTCCCCCTCCTCCTCCCCAAGCCAGGCCAGGCAGCCCATCAGCACTGCCAGCCCCTGCGTGGACAGCAGCCCCAAGCCAAGAGCAACAGGAGATGGTCGAAGTCTTGCAGCGCCGTGCACTGTCAGCTGGATAGAGAGTGATTTATCACAGAACAAATTTCTGCCTGGCCGTTTGAATTCCGTTTGGCCATCGTTTCAAAGGGCGAGATACAAAAGGGAGGGGAGAGGGTAGATGTAGTCTCAGAAATATTGCTTAGCCCTGACTTTTCTCTGCCAGCATCTTTTTCCTGCTCTTCCAGAGATGTCAAAGAAGTAGCTATAATGCGCTTTAGTAATGAGAGAACTGCTGAAATTGCACCAGAGACCTCCTTAAAATGTAACACTGCAGCTCTGGCCGCTGCAGGGGAAGGGCGCATTGGACAGGAGAGGCCAGATCAGCCAGAAGTCCCCTGGGCTGAGAACAGGTGCAGGCAGCGAGAGGAAGGGGATTCTAGACTACTGTCCCAAAGTCAGGTCCTCGTCAGTGTCCCGAAACGGTGGCCCCTTCAGGACAAGAAGCTCTGACAGGAGCCTTCCCACATCCTGGGAAGCCTCCTAAATCCGGACCAGGGCTCTGCCAATCCCTGCTTTCTTCACAGTTTTGCCAGTGTCCTCCGCCTAAAGAGGAGAGAAAATGGAATAAGATGGAAAGGTGAATGGGAGGTAAGGAAGAGAGGGGAAGCAGCACAAAAGCCCGTGAGAGTTAGAGTCAGGACCGTCCACATCCCATCTCTTAGCAGAATGGCTCCGTCAGCAAGTCTGTGTCACAGACGACCCCAGCATTCAGTTGTTTAAGATGATTGTGATTTCTTCTAGCTTATGGATTTGCAGGTAAGTGGAGCTCTGGTGGGCAGCTCAGCCTGAGGCGTGAGCTCTGCTGGGTTTGGCCTCTTGCTGCCGTGGGGCTATGGTCAGCTCCCTGTTCCTTGTGTCCCACTCTGGGGCCCACGCTGAGAGATGTATTAATAGCTACTTTGGAGAAAGTTCCTCTAACGATAAAATTCCAGAGACTAGCAGAAGTACACATTTCCGAGTCCAAGCTTGGACTGATCCAAGCATGGCTGTCACTCCTGCTCACGTTTTCCCAGCCAAACTCAAGTCCAGCACCAACGGGGAGAGGAAACAGACCGCGTCCATGATGGAGGAGAACGCGGGACTCCCTGAGTGAAGAACCAGTTCAGCATCGTGGCTGAGAGCAGAGCTCCAGGGTTGGCCGGCTGTGTTTAAATCCCGACTTACGATCACCAGCTGTGTGATCTTGGGCAGGTTACATCACCTGTCCGTGCCTTGGTTTTCTCATTTGCAATATGGATATGATAAAAATAGTACCGTCTTCCGGTCCTAGGCGCTTCAGGAGCTGCGGCTTAGGTGCAGACATGGCCAAGTCCAAGAACCACACAACACACGACCAGTCCCGAAAATGGCACAGAAATGGTATCAAGAAACCCCGATCACAAAGATACGAATCTCTTAAGGGGGTGGACCCCAAGTTCCTGAGGAACATGTGTTTTGCCAAGAAGCACAACAAGAAGGGCCTAAAGAAGATGCAGGCCAACAATGCCAAGGCCATGAGTGCACGTGCCGAGGCCATCAAGGCTCTCATAAAGCCCAAGGAGGTTAAGCCCAAGATCCCAAAGGCAGGTGTCAGCCGCAAGCTCAATCGGCTTGCTTACATTGCCCACCCCAAGCTTGGGAAGCGTGCTCGTGCATGCATTGCCAAGGGGCTCAGGCCCTGCCAGCCAAAAGTCAAGGCCAAGTCCGAGGATCAAAACAAGGCCCAGGCTGCACCTCCAGCTTCAGTTCCAGCTCAGGCTCCCAAAGGTGCGCAGGCCCCTACAAAGGCTTCAGAGTATATGTCTCTGTCTGCCAACGTGAGGACAGAAGGACTGGTGCGACCCCCCGGGGCTGCCATCTGCATGGGGCTGGGGTCCTCCTGTGCTATTTGTACAAATAAACATGAGGGAGGAAAAAAAATAGTAGTGCCCTCATGTGTTTATGGTGAGGACTCAGAGAGATGACCCGGGTAAGCCTCGCAGGATGGTGCCCGGATCACAGTCACTGAATGTTTGCTGTTGTTATAAAGTGAGCAGTCACTGATAAAAGTCCATCTCTTCCTGTGTGTGCATGTGTGTGTGTGCATGTGCGTGTGTGTAGATGTGATAGGTGGGTAGTGTTGGGGGCACAGGGTGAGCAGGTCCCCCTGAGTGTCCCCTGAGCATGGGGAGTGTTCAGTGAACCAGATGCCTGAGCACCTTTCTTGCCAAGGCCACGCCTGGTGGCTACTTTGGCAACATTCTACCCAGGTGATGCTGAGACCAGCTCCAGCCATTTAATTCTCCATAGATTTGGGAGGCAAAGGAGGAAGAATTGCTTAAGCCCATTAGTTGGAGAACAACCTGGAAACATGGCAAGACCCATCTCTAAAAAAAATGTTTTTTAATTAGCTGGGTGTAGTAGTGTGTGCCTGCAGTCCCAGCTACTCAAGAGGCTGAGAAAAAAGGCTTGCTTGAGCCTGGGAGTTTGAAGTTGTAGTGAGCTATGGTTGCACCAGGGCACTGCAGCCTGGACAGCAAGCAAGACCCTGCCTCTGTGGAAAGGACAACGCTGTGAAGGCCAGATGTGATGGAGGGCTACCGGTTTGCAAGCTCTGATTCATTCATTCATTTTTTTATTGTACTTTAGCTCTTGGGGTACATGTGCATATCATGCAAGATTGTTGCACGGGTACATTCATGGCAAGGTGGTTTGTTGCCACCATCTCCCCATCACCTATACCTGACATTTCTCCCTGCGTTATCCCTCCCCCACCCTCCCTCCCGTACCTCTCCCAAAGGACCCCAGTGTGTGATGCTTCCCTCGTGTCCCTGTGTTCTCATTGTTCACCCATCTATGAGTGAGAACACGTGGTGTTTGATTTTCTGTTCTTGTGTCAGTTTGCTGAGAATGATGGTTTCCAGGTTCATCCATGTCCTTACAAAAGATACAAACTCGTGTATTTATGGAGCATCCACTGTGTGTCAGGTGTTAGGCCCTAGGGATTCAAGAGTAAACACAACAGACAACAATCTCTGCCATCCTAGAGTTTAGGTTCTCATGAGGGAGGGCACATCATCACCAAAGCAAGCGATCTAGAGAGAGGAAGCAAGGAGGAGGGAAGGGAGGGGCAGGGGAGTTGCCATTTAAAATGGGAATGTCAGGCTGGGCATGATGGCTCACACCTGCAATCCCAGCACTTTGGGAGGCCGAGGTGGGTGAATTACTTGAGGCCAGAAATTTGAGACCACCGTGGCCAGCATGATGAAACCTCATCTCTACTTAAAAAGTACAAAAACTAGCCAGGTGTCACAGCACATGCCTGTAGTCCCACCTACTCGGGAGGTTGAGGCAGGGGAATCATTTAAACCCAGGAGGTGGAGGTTGCAGTGAACCAAGATGGCACCATTGCACTCCAACCTGGGTGACAGAGCGAGGCTCTATCTCAAAAAAAAAAAAAAAAAAAAAAAGAAGAAGAAATGTCAGAGAAAGAATCTTTGAGAAGTTAACATTTGAGAAGGCAGGGATTCTCAGCCTCGGTGCTGGTGACATCCGGGGTGGGTTAATTCTTCATTATGGAGCACTGTAGGCTGTTGAGCAGCATGCCTGGCCTCTGTCGCCTAGATACTGGTTACAATATAGCCTCCCATTTGTAACAACCAAGATGTCCAGAGATGCTCAAGTGCCCTCTGGGGGACGAAATTGCCCCAGGCTGAGATCTACTGGATTAAAGAGCTGAAGGATATGAAGAGCAAATCAGGCAGACAAGTCGAGGAGGGGCCATCAGGCAGAGCAGCACATGCAAAGGCCCTGTGGCAGGTGTGCACCTGGCGTGTCCAGGAACCAGCAGGGAGGCCAGCAGCTGAGTGGAGTGGACAAGGTGAGACCCGCAGAAGATGCACAGGGAAGATAACCAGCACATCGGGGAGGACCTTATACCTCATTCAAGGATTTTTCCAGAGTTGAAACGGAGATATTATTTAGACATTTTCCCGCAATCACCCTAGATTCAGAGCTGTTGAGAAGAGGCCCCTGATCTGGGGATTTGTATTTGTCCCTCCAGATCCCTTCGTCCCTCTCCCACCCCACCCGTGGCCCTGGGAGGCTACACTGTGTGGATGGCTCTAACAAGCTGGGCCTCCCCCGACTTCTCACTGGGCTTGGGCAATGGGAGGCTCCAGTGAAACCGGAGGGTGAGAGAGGAGGGAGCTCAGGAGAGTTGGTCCCTTGGCCCCTCAATGCAAGGCTGTGGGTTGGACGCAAGCTCCCGGCTCCACCGGCGGCCTCTTCTCGGAGACAGTGTCCACGCCAGATCTGTAGATGCGCTCACTTTGCCTTCCAGGTGGTGACCACTCCTGGGAGCCTTTGTACCCGTGTCTGGGGTTGCTGTCACAAATTAACATAAACTGTGTCTTAAAGCAACAGAAATGCATTATTCCATGGTTCTGGAGGCCAGGGCTTAAAGTCAAGGTATGGGCAGGGCTGCAATGCTCTGAAGGCTTTAGGGGACGACGCTTCCTGCCCCTGCCAGCTCCTGGTGGTTTCCAGCCTCCCTCGGCCTCAAGGCGCATTCTTGCCGTCTCTGCCTCCATCTTCACATCACCTTCTCTGTGTGTGTCTCTGTGTCTCTCCTCTCCTCCTGGGGATACCAGTCATTGGACTTAGGGCCTGCCCTAAGCTAGTATGTTCTTCTCTCGACCCCTAAGTAATTACATCTGCAAGCCCGTGTTTCCAAACAAGCTCGCAGTGTGAGGTTCCAGGCAGACGTGAATTCTGGAGGATGCAGAGCAACCCACCGCCTGCCTCCGAGCCCTGGCGTGCTTTCCCCGCCACGCTGTTTTCCCTTAACCCTCCCCGCCCCTGCGATCCGCAGTCCTCAAGTTCAGGTTTGTGTGGACCATCTGTTCCCTGCCTGGACTTGGAAACCGAGACAGCCTTTCCGAGTGGCCCCTGGGGGAGGGGATGAGGAAGTGCCGGCAGAGCCACTTGAGGAGAGGTTCTGACTGCCACTGGTCCCTTGCCACAGGCATGCCACAGTTGCTGGCCAGTGGCCTCTCTCAGCACCTGCCTTTCCCCTGCCCACCTGCCCACAGGAATGCAAGTGACTCAAATAGGCACATGGCAAGAAGGATGACTTCAGCCAAGGCCATAATCCCAGTATAAACAGCGTGGCCGAGACAGCCCATCCAAGTCCTGAACTGACTCTCATAGGCAGTTCTCACTCTAACTCTCCAGCTGGGATGAGCGGCAACCGCGGTGGGCCTCAGTTTTCTCATCTACAAAATGGGGTCATAACTGCTGTCCATGGCTCTAGAAAAACTGAGTATGAAAACAGTGGGCAAAGAAGGCCAAAAATGAGATACAAACAAGCAAAATGAAAACAGAATGGACAAATAGGTGGCACAAATAATGTGGTAGAAATAAATCCAAGTAAAATGTCCATGGTAACTCGCACAAATGTGCTAAAATTTCCAGCAAAAGAACAATGAATTCCGGAGAAAACGTTATGAAAGAAAACCATTATAAGTGTTTGTTTTTACAAAGCATCTGAAACAGCCAGGATACAGAAGGCTCCAGAAAGGCTTAAAGTAAAAGAGGGAAAAAGGCAAATCACACAAGTGGTAACCAGAAGAAACCGGCGGCCTAGGAAGCAAACTGATTTTATGGTAAAAATAAAGCCTTACAAGTTGTTTTTAAAAATTGGGTTTCTTTTCTGTTTCTTTGTTTGTTGGTTCGTTGGTTTTTTGCTGGAGTGCAATGGTGTGATCTCAGCTCACTGTAACCTCAGCTCACTGTAACCTCCGCCTCCCAGGTTCAAGCGATTCTCCTGCCTCAGCCTCCCTAGTAGCTGAAATTATAGGCACCCACCACCATGCTCAGCTAGGTT